TAATTTTTGTCAGATTAAAAATACCTTATAAAAATGACGACCTTAAAGCAGATAGTTAAAACCAGACATTTACATAAAATCTATATAAAAGTATATGTGTTTATTCACAGTGTCTTATGTGTCAATTAGGATTACTAACATTTTTCTATTTGCTATTATACCAGAATAATGACATGAGAATTTTTTTCAAGGCAATTTTTATTACTTTCTCCAAGGTCAAAAGTTTAAATATACTTCATTAGTATAGGGCACCATTGCAATGCATTTCAGTTGCTTTGAACAGGGTAATCCCATTCCCTCCACCCTTCTGCAACAACGGACGTGAATAGTTTACACTGTGGGCTTACCGGTATGAGGTTATTCAGTGAGCTTGTTAGAAAGACACTAATCTTGCCCTGGAATTATCTACATTGTTGCCACCTGAGATTTTCATAGCATGGGACAATTTACCCAAGGACACACAAAGTTAATTAGAGGCTACCAAAAAGCATCTCCAGGACGCGTTTGGTCAGAAGAATGTTATTGCCTCATTTCAGACTTTTCCCAATGCACGTCATTGGCTGCCAAATGAAGCGATGGAAGTCTGTGCTGCAGATAAATGTTGTCTAGTGAAAGAGGCATTCCCAGATTTTGAGAAAAATGTGAGTGAGTAGTACATGAAAATGTCCCGTTTCATTGCTGGTTTGGATCACGATCTTGATACAGATCAAGTGCAACAAGAGTGGGGTGAAGATGTTTCAGGAGGCTTTTGAGGTTGCAGCAGGAGCAGAGTGGGCTCGTCAGGCTGCTTGTTTAATATCACCAGCTGCATCAGAAGATGTAAGCACATCCCCTTCTGTAAATACTGTTTCCAGCGAGCAATCGCATCTAAAAACTGACATACAAGACCTCACTAGTACTGTAAAAGACTGTGACGGTCCGACCAGTCAAGGACAAGGACAAAGGCATATATAAAAAAATATTTTCTATTTTTTCCAAAGAAAATCTTAACAAAAGGTTTCAACAACAAATCTAAAGAATGTAACAAAATGGGTTCAAAAGAAAACTAAGGCAAACATAACTCAAGATAAACCAAAAACTGACCTCACACAATGAACACACAGGGGAATTTATACAAACAGGCTGGCCTACACAAACGAGGAGGGGAGGGGAAGGAGACAAAAACAAATAATGTATAAACATAAATGACTAATTTAAACTAAAACATTTT